ATTTAAACCTGTACCCTTCGTGAACCAGACATGGTGATGATTTACTGTTCACTCCGTATGGGTATTCATTTCAGGGATAATTAGATTGCTAGGCCAGTGAGCTAATTTGTTCCATTGCTTCTTAGAGATCTGTTATGGAGATTTGTTTCTCCATTACAGTGTTTGTGGGCCCTAACTACATTTAACAATGTGGTGTTTCAAACCATCATTAAACTCATCCCTTCCTCTTACTAGTATTAGAAAAGTAAAAACTTACTAATGAGATCTCAGAGAACATAATTGCCAAACCTCAGTAGACCTTCCCAGTCTACTGATGATTTAATTCTAAATAAAACCAATTCAATTGAATTAAGATCCTCTCCATCTGTAATAAGTACCTAATAGCAGTTGCATAAATTTCATAAAAGCCATCATCATTTTATTTATATATTTTTCTTTTTTTTATTTCAGCATATTGTGGGGGTACAAATGTTAAGGTTACATATATTGCCCATGCCCCCCTCCCACCTCGAGTCAGAGCTTCAAGTGTGACCATCCCCCAGACATTGCACATCTTACTCATTATGTTTGTATGTGCCCATCCCCTCCTCCCTCCTCCCACCTGCCTGACACCCAATAAATGTTTTTCCTATATGTCCACTTAGGTGTTGATCCGTTAATACCAATTTGCTGGTGAGTACATGTGGTGCTTGTTTTTCCATTCTTGAGATACTTCACTTAGTAAAATGGGTTCCAGCTCTATCCATGAAAATACAAGAGGTGCTATATCATCATTATTTCTTAAAGCTGAATAATACTCCATGGTATACATATACCACATTTTATTAATCCACTCATGTATTGATGGGCACTTGGGTTGTTTCCACAACTTTGCGATTGTGCATTGTGCTGCTATAAACATTCGAGTGCAGGTGTCTTTTTTGTAGAGTGTCATTTGATCTTTTGGGTAGATGCCCAGTAGTGGAATTGCTGGATCAAATGGTAGATCTACTTGTATCGCTTTAAGGTGTCTCCATATTGCTTTCCACAGAGGTTGCACTAGTTTGCAGAGTACAGGAGCACTCCTGCAGCAGTGTAGGAGTGTTCCTATCTCTACGCATCCATGCCAACATTTATTGTTTGGGGACTTTTTGATAAAGGCCATTCTGACTGGAGATAAGTGATATCTCATTGCAGTTTTGATTTGCATTTCCCTGATGAGTAGAGATGTTGAGCATTTTTTCATGTTTGTTGGCCATTATTCGGCCGTCTTTTGAAAAATTTCTGTTCATGTCCTTTGCCCACTTTTTTTTTTTTTTCTTTTTTTTCTTGCTTTCTCTTCTTGCCCACTTTTTGATAGGGTTGTTTGATTTTTTTCTGGCTGATTTTCCTGAGTTCTAAACAAATTCTAGTTATCAGCCCTTTATCGGATGTGTAGCTTGTGAAAATTTTCTCCCATTCTGTGGGTTGTCTGTTTGCTCTCTTGACAGTTTATTTGGCTGTGCAGAAGCTTTTTAATTTGATCAGGTCCCATTTATTCATTTTTGTTGCTGCTGTGATTGCCTTTGGGGTCTTCTTCATAAATTCTTTGCCTAGGCCAATGTCTAGAAGAGTATTTCCAATGTTTTCCTCTAGAATTCCAATAGTTTCACACCTAAGGTTCAAGTCTGTTACCCAGTGTGAGTTGATTTTTGTGAGAGGTGAAGGTGTGGGTCCTGTTTCAGTCTTCTACATGTGGCTATCCAGTTTTCCCAGCACCATTTATTGGCCATCATCATTTTAGTCAAATAAAAATGAGGTATTGTTCATTCATTCTTGGGGAAATGTATATTTGCTGATAATGAAAAGACATCAGCTTCTGAAAAACTTACATCTTAGCAGATATCAAGAAAGAATCTCTTATCAGGCAAGGATTGGATTGAACTTTTTTCCAAGCTATGCTATCCAAGTGGTTATTAGAAAGAGAAGGAAACTAAAATTGAGCATTTAGACACTTTGCATAGCTTATTAAATCTTAGGAGATTTAACCTTATGAAATCTTTATGAGATCTTATCAAATCTTTAAGAAAGCAGTATCATTCCCATTGTATAGATGAAGCACAGAGAATTGAAGTGATACTTCCAAGGCCCTAGCTAATAGTGAAGAGTTGAACCCAGGTCTGCCAGATCTCAAACTTTACTCTTCATCTTACACTATTCGGAAACAAGAAGTGCAAATTGTGACAAGATGAAAGGGACTCAGCCATTTGAGGAAACAATTTTGTCTTTTCCACTGCACCTTGTGGCTACTGTCTGTCGTCCACCTGAAAAACAACAGCATACTTTATTAATAAGTAGAGGGTGATGGGAAGAAAAATGTCAAAGTAAGGTCATTGGCTACATGGCAGAGCTGTCAGCCGATGTGAAAGAAGTAGGATGTAAGTGTTGGCGCTGAGGAGAGGCTAGCGGAGTCAGGTGCAGAGACCTGCTGTCGGGTGGCTCCCGCTGTTTGGGTTTAAGCCAAGGGCAGGATCTGGGGACCTGTCTTTATTCTTTGAGCACAATCATTGAGCACCCCCAATGTGCTAGACCCTCTTCTAGGCCAAAAGAACAGCAGGCAGAGGTTCTACTCTGCAGAATTCACGTTTTAGTTGGAGAAACACGTGAGAAAGATATTTTGAGACAAAAATAAGTGCTCTGAAGATGTCAGGATGGGAGTTACTTTGGGCAGTCAGGGGAGAACACTCTAAGCAATGACGTTTGAGTCTGAGGCAGAACATGCTGGATAGTGGTACTACAACTATGGAGGCAAAGACAGGAATAAGCTTAGTGCATTCAGGGGACAGAAATGCAACCAGATGGCTAAAGAGAGTGGTGGTCAGATCATTCAGGGACCTGGAGCTGGTAGCAAGTAACTGGATTTTATTCTAAGGGCAGTAAAAGCATTTTGGAGGGTTTTAATCGAGGAAGTAACATGATCTTCACATGCTAAGAAGATGAATCTGGACGCTGTGGAGAGAGGGATGCAGAGGGCTAAGAATGGGGAGGCTGTCACAGGCTGGAAGGAAGCCACCACCAGCTGAGACCAGGGTGGCAATGGGGACAAGTGGAATAGCAGGTGACCACTTTCATCTCCAGAGAAGCTCTAGATGTGGGTAAAATAAAGCAGTATTGCATTAAACCACTGTACTCTCTTACAGATTATAAAGGAGCATCTTTATGTGGACTGTGTCAGTGTTTACCAAATTATAAATTAAAACAAAAATTGAGTGTTTAACACATTTATAAATAATGATAAACCCATTACATCTCGACATAAATAATATTTCTTACAAAAAATAACTACATTTTCTAAAACGAAAATTCAGTGAGAATGACTTTGTTTTTCATTTTTACAAATTACTTTAAGGTCTGGCTTCCTAGAAGCCACCTAGACTCTCACATCTGCTTCTGGCTTCTGTCTTTTGTGCTGTCACACACCTTGTAGCCACTGGAGAGAATGAGCATGAACGGAACAGATAACACTAATATTATGAAATAGTTTTGACCTTGAGACCTCCTGCAAGGGCCCTGGGGGCCCCAGGATCCCCAGGCCACCCTTTGAGAACCACTGCTGTGAAGAGAAATATCCTAAGATGGCCAGGCAGAGAATGACGGGGGGTGGATTTGGACAGTTTCTGAGGGATCATTAAGGTGTTAGCTTCTAGGTAGCTTGTGCTGTCTTTTGTTCCTGTGTGTGTGCTGGGCTGGGGCAGTGGACAGGGAGGCACATGCTGAGTAAGCATGTTTGTCCAGACCTTGCTGTTGCACAGAAGCGTGACAGGGAGGGGACCGCGTTTCTGCTGCCATGCTACACGAGAGGACCCTTATCTGTGCCTGCTGGCAGCAGCAACAAGAGCAGAAGCAGAGTATTTGTTGTTTAGTTGTAAATCTAATCTTTCACCCTCATATGTGAAAAGAAAAGCGCCCTGCTTTACTACTAGCTACCATTTAGTCTCTACCAACTACACGCCAGTCTCGTGGGCGTCTCTTCAGTGGTGTCCGTCATCTGCGCAACTGAGTCGGGCAGAGCCAGCAACATGTGGCTCTTTGGATGGTATCAGTATCTGGCAGCATATTTTTATCAGAAAGGTATTTTTAGTTCCATTTAAATGTGATTTTATTCAACTAAGGCTGGCTTTGTCATTGCTCCAGCATCCCCCATACAGAAAAACATGTTACTGTATAATGAAGTCAGTGCGGACACAGAGTTACAGAAAACCACTTTACAGCAAGGACTACTGAGAAACTCACATTGTGCCATGTGAGCAAAATCTGTACTGCCCTATACTTTTCACAGATTTTTTTCAATATGTATATTTAGTTTAATATGGTTATTTAATTTTACAGAGGGAAATCTAGTGAGTAGATGTTTCCATTGTTATTATAGCCAAGGTGGATGGATCACTCAAGGTCAGGAGTTCAAAACCAGCCTGAGCAAGAATAAGACCCCATTTCTACTAAAAATAGAAAGAAATTAATTGGCCAATTAAAATATATAGAAAAATTTAGCCGAGCATAGTGGTGCGTGCCTATAGTCCCAGCTACTTGGGAGGCTGAGGCAGTAGGATCACTTGAGCCCAGAACTTTGAGGTTGCTGTGAGCTAGGCCGATGCCACGGCACTCTAGCCTGAGCAACAGAGTGAGACTCTGTCTCTCATATAATATATATAATATTATGAGTTATATATAGATAATATATTATAATATATATTTCTTCAGTTACATAGTTTTTTAGGGGAAAAAATACTTTATGGGAAAATTTGTACAAGTGGTTTGTTTTTACTGATTTAAGCTAGTTTGTAACATTCATATTTTCTTAGATGTTTTTATCTTTGAGATTTGAATGAACCATTTAAGTTAGAAATGTCTGACCATTTTGATGATTTAAGAAATTAGTTTGTATATGAGGTGACGATGGGAAGAAAAATCAATCTGTAAAATAATTTCTCAAGAATGTGGAACTACTACTAATGAACATTCTCTGCTTGCTCTGTTTTTAGGCCTTCTTCCTGGTCTATGCCTTGGGATGTCTAAGTATCTACTATGAAAAGGTAAGATGCTTTGTTTAGATACAATCCACTTAAAATTTCCCTGATGTTAAAAGCAGGTTGGGCTGGGCATGGTGGCTTATGCCTGTACCCAGTGCTTTGGGAGGCTGAGATGGGAGGATTGCTTCAGGCCAGGAGTTTGAGACCAGCCTGGGCAGCATAGCAAGAGCCATCCCTACAAAAAATGTATATGTATTTTAGCTGGGCATCATCTGGGTGCCTATAGTCCCAGCTACTCAGGAGGCTGAGGCAGGAGGATTGCTTGAGTCCAGGAATTCAAGCCTGCAGTTAGCTGTGATCACACCACTGTACACCAGCTTGGGTGACAGAGCTAGACTATATCTCAAAAAAAAACAAGTTGTACTGATTTGTATAGGATTTATTAGTACAAATGTTCTTCTGCTGAATAAAATAGAAATTGAATTTTTTCTCCGAGTTTTGGCTTTGAGTCCTGAATTGGGACTGTTTGAGCAAAAGGCAGCTTTGACTCCCTTTAGATTACATTTCATTCCTAGAGACTAGAAGTGTCATATCTTATACTGTATAATGATCAGGAAATCTGTGTCCAGGCAGTATTAAAAATTAACAACAAAAATACAAGCTACCGACATTTGGCACCTACTTTGGTAAAGGTTGTGTGTTAGGCACTTTACATGCAGTATTTCTAATCCTTGCCTCCAGCTGGTAAGAATTTTACAGATAAGGTAACTGAGGCTCAGAGAAAATAAGTAACTCACTGAAGGTCACACAGCCAGTCTGGTTAGAATTAGTATTTGAATGCACATCCTGGTAACTCCAGTGCCCATGATTTTGTGGTTTTATATGGCAGCTTGCTGCCTTTAGAAAAAAGGTATTGATACCATGGCTTGCTTCCAGGCAGAGGAGCTGGGGGGCTGAGGACACAGGGAAGAGGGAGATGTTTAACTGGATACTTTTTGTATGTTTTTAATTTAAAATCATGTGAATATAATACCTATTCAAAATAATTGAAATAAAATTACAGAGCTAAACAGAACAGTAAGTGGAACAGAGAAAGTGTATTTTATTTGGTTATTGATATAGCACATAATTTTATCATTCATCAAATTCTGATTGCATAAATCTTGCTCATGGTGTTCCAGTGGTTTGGAAGCGGCTGTCTGCCTGATGAGCAACTCAGATTCCCACATGGCGGCCCTGCTCAGCCACACCCTGCCTCCTCTCAATCTGATGGATTCTTTTTGTGCCATCAGATAACAAATTCTCTAGTTTCAAAGGCTAAATGGAGCATTTTTTTTTCCAAACTTTTTATTACAAAATTATTTTTGGCTTTTCTGAATGTGGCCTGACATAGAGTAGCTACTCATTAAGGGTCCATAAAATGTTGGAATGTGCTATCCTCCAGCTTTGGTGGCTTATTACACTTGAGCCCACAGGCACATTTTAGTTCCTCTGCCCAGAATGTTCTCCCCAGCCCACCACCACCTCCTCCAATACCCCCTCCCCCCTTTCCCTTGGCTGCTTCTCGTTGCCTCTTCTAAGTCCTCTGGAGCAGTGCCGTCCACTAGAAGTATGATGGGAGCCTTGGACAGGAGCCACATGTATCATTGTGGATTTTTGGTACTCACCTAAAGTTTCAAAAAAGAAAAGCAGATGATGTAAGATGTCTGTAATGAATGGGAAAAGAAAAAGAAATAAGCGATGAAATTATTTTAATAATATATTCATAGTTTATTTAATCAAAAATATCTAAAATTATTGAGATAGTTTACATTCTTTTTCTTTCATGCCAAGTTGGAATTCAGTGTGCCCCCCTCAGTTGGGACAAGCCATGGATAGCTGGCAGCTACCACATTGGACAGTGCAGGGCTGGATCTTCTAGGGAAATGCCTCTGTTGGGGGAACTGTATTTTCTTGTTCACTGCTTCAGTTCTATACTTGGCATAGATGTTGACGCGCTGGCTGACTGCTGAATGAATATGTGCATAACAATGCCTTTTTCAAAAATAACTTTAGGAGCCTTTAACGATAATGAAGCTCTGGAAAGCTTTCTCTGTAGTTCAGCCCACATTCAGGACGACCTACATGGCTTACCACTACTTCCGAAGCAAAGGCTGGGTGCCCAAAGTGGGACTCAAGTACGGGACAGATTTATGTAAGTAATTTAACAGGGTCTGCATCAAGTTCACCCTAGAAAATCAAACTGGTCATAGGTGCTGTTGCCAGCTTTCGTGAGAATGTGATAACCACTACACTACGGAAACCAGACGCTTCTCGTGAGAAAATGTGTCCTCCTCTGGGCTTAGGTAAGAATATTGGGTAGTTGGAGTGGGATGAAAGGTAAGTCCAGAAAGAGAAAAGGTGGTCTAGGGGGAAAGCCTCGGAGTAGAAGCTTACAGCCCCAGTTCAGACTTCCCTTCTTGTTTGCTCTGTTATCTTAGAAAAAGATTCTAAATACCTGAGTACCATCGACAGTAGGTACTGCCCCACCTCCCAAATGGCTGGGACTATTTTAGATTAAAAGAGACTGCAGTGGGTTTGGTGGGTTTAATGGCAGCCCCCAGAAAGAAATGTCCTACTCCCTGGTAACTGTGAATATGACCTTATTTGGAAAAAGGGTCTTTGCAAATATCCTTAAGGATCTTGAAACAATATCATCAGCCAGGTGGGCTCTAAATCCAATGACAAGTTCCTTACGAGACAAAGGCAGAGGGAGATTTGACACAAAGAGGCACTGTGATCACAGAGGCAGACACTGGAGGGTGCAGGGGCAGGAGGATTGTTTGAGCTCTGGAGTTAGAGGCTACTGTGCATGGTGATTGTGCCTGTGAATGGCCATTGCACTGCAGCCTTGGCAAGGTAGCAACACCCTGTCTCTAAAAAAATAAAGTAGTCCCTGTATATTCTTATTTTGTTTTTCATAACATTGACCTTTTTTGAAGAGACTTACAGTATATTCCCCGTTCTAGATACGTCTGATCAGTCCTCATGATCAGACTCAAGCTCAGTGTTCTTTTGGCACACACACAGGTAATGTGTGTGCTTATTATACCACGTCAGGAGCTACGTGGTCCCAGCTTGTCCTACTGTCGATGGTACTCAGTTCAATCATCTGACTAAGGTTATTTTTGTCAATATCTGTTGTAAAATTACATTTTTTTCTCTTATAATAAGTTGTACGGTGATACTGTAAATAGCTGGTTTCCCAATAATTATAATGGTTGTCTGAATTAATTATCGTACTAATCATTATTTTCTAATTCTGTCATTTCTCTATCTGGTATTCATCTGTAAGAAAGAGCTTTTCCTTGTTCTTTCAGACCTTATTTTTTCTGTTTATTTACTTTTTAGAAATGATGTCTCATTGTGTTGTCCAGGCGAAATCTTCAGCCTCCTGAGTAGCTGGGATTATAAGCTCACACAACCTCAGCAGCTCAGACCTTATTTTAAATGCCCCATATTTTTCAGACTTTTGAAGCTTTCATCTTTCTACTTAGGCATTTTTGTAAAACAATTCCATTTTTCCCCCTTACTACACTGTCGTTACACAGTCACCCACCATATAACAATGCTTTGGTCAAGCTTGAACCACGTGTACGATGGTGGTCCCATAGATGATAGTGGAGCTGGAGGAACTGAAAAGTTCCTATTGCCTAGTGAGGTGGTAGCCATCAGAACGTCTTAGTGCAGCATTGCTCACGTGTCTGTGGTGATGCTAGTGTAAGCAGTTGTATAAAAGTCTAGCACATACAATCATGTACAGCAGTGATCCCCAGCCTTTTTAGCACCAGGGACTGTTTCATGGAAGACAGTTTTTCCATGGGTTGGGGGTGGGGGGCACGGTTTCAGGATGACTCAAGTGTGTTACGTTTCTTATGCAGTCACACCTCTCTGCTAAAGATAATCTGTATTTGCAGCCGCACCCCAGCGCTAGCATCACCGCCTCCGCTCCCCCTCAGATCATTGGGCGTTAGGTTCTAATAAGGAGCACAACCTAGATCCTGCACAGGCGCAGTAGACAGTAGGGTGTGTGCTCCTGTGGGAATCTAATGTCACCGCTGATCGGACAGGAAGCGGAGCTTATGTATATCATGTTTGCACAATGATGAAATCACCTGATGATGCACTTCCCAGAATGTATGCCAACATTAAGTAATACATGACTGTAATTAACATTGTTATAGGTAACTTTTTGGGTCTTTACTATATGCCAGACACTGTACTAATACTTCTGCCTTCATTATGACCCCATTTTTCCTAAGGAAATTGAGGTGCAGAGAGTTGCCACGTGATCTTGGCGTTACTGAGACTTGAACTTGAGCCTGGCTGATGCCAGTGTTCATCTTTAATTTCTCAGCTGTGCCAGTGTCACGTCCATCGCCAGAAATTTCCTGACTTGTGGATGTGAGCTGCTTCCCAGCTGTGTAATGCTCCAGATGCATATTGGATTGAAGATGTGTATTTGATCACAAGTGATGACATTTGAGGGCTAGAAAATATCTTAATTTCCCCTAATGGATTTATTTTAGAATTTTGGGAACTGAGGCTCAGAGAAGTTAATAACTTGCCCAAAGACACACAACTTGGAAAGGCAGAGATTGGGCAGGAAACAACTCATGAGTTCACTTTCATTCAAGTATGTGGTTTCCTTCCTCTTCACTGCATCTTACAAAGCTGGGAATTGTGCCCGGGCACAGTGGCTCATGCCTGTAATCCTAGCACTCTGGAAGGCTGAGGCAGGAGGATCACTTGAGGTCAGGAGTTTGAGACCAGCCTGAGCAAGAACAAGACCCCATCTCTACTAAAAATAGAAAAAATTAGCTAGGCAACTAAAAATAGAAACAAACAAAAAATAGCACCCATAGTGACGTGCACCTGTAGTCCCAGCTACTCGGGAGGCTGAGGCAGGAGGATCACTTAAACCCAGGAGTTTGAGGTTGCTTGTGAGCTAGAGTTTGAGGTTGCTGTGAGCTAGGCTGATGCCATGGCACTCTAGCCTGGCCAATAGAGCAAGAGTCTGTCTCAAAAAAAAAAAAAATTGGGGAATTGTATGTTTTGGGTATTTCCTTAAATTTGTGCCACAGTAAATTTGAGCTGACTTGCAGAATACTTTAAATACAATTTAAATAGGAAATAGAATAAGTAAGGAAACATGAATGTGGAAAATATAGACTAGCAAGCAAGACTAAGTGAAGGGTTACTATGTTGTCTTTGGGGTCCTATGCTGTTACTAAAATCATCTATAAATTTGGCACTGATCATCCTGAGCCAAAGGGAAATGCAATTAGCTACAGGATTGATATGTCCAAAAGGAAAATGATACCATTTCCTCAAGGGAAACAAAATTTGTCCTTGAACTTTTCTGTTTGGGTTTAGCACAAAGGACAGCTAAGAGTTTACAGATGTGATCATATGTTAGTTACAGTAATTCCCATAGCTGTAGTTAGTCTCAGGGGCTTAACAGAGTTCATTTTTGTTCATGTGAAATGAAAAATATGTGTCTCTGATTGGTGGGTGCTTCTTTCTTGTGACTCGTGGTCTTCAAGATGTGGCCTCCAAGGTCACCTTCAAAAAGGAACAAGCACAGGCTTTGTGCACAGGAGGGTTTTATGAGCCAACCTGGTGGTGTCACACAACACACAGCCATGCCTGCTGCTTGGGAGACTGAGAGATGTGGTTGGCCACATGCCCAGGAGGAGAAAGTGGTGAATTTAACAAACCGGTGACCAGTCTCTGCCACAGATCATGTGCCGCCAAAGGGCTCCCCTGAAGATCAGAGTCCCTGGCCCAGCCAGGCTCCTTCATCGAGAGGCTCTTCTAGACCTCCACAGACTGAATTGATCCACCTCCTTCAAGTCCCCAATAGTACAGCAGACTGATATCTGAATGGCATATATGGTGATAGGACTTTTTTTTTAACCTACTTGACTTTGATTTTCTTAAAAATAGTTGTGAGCCTTGTTCATCTCTAGCATCAACATCTATCACAGTACCCAGCCAGACAGAGTAGCCACTTGAACGCTTTGAATTACATCGATTTGAAATGAGTAACAAAATGTTGGTCCGCATCATATGAACTTCACTCTTGATATGATCCTCACTCTTACCCTGGAGAATGTGAGGCAAGAGACAAGACAGGCTTCACTTGTACCTGACTTTGGAATTCACTTGTAGGTTGGGGCAAGGATGTGAGGGTCTTGGCAACAGATTTGCTTTACCAATTGCACTGTTTCAGGGAAAAAAATAGACTGGATTTTAAAAATAAACCACAGGGCATATTGCAGATTAACTTCACACAGGTGAATGGATGTTTGCCTCCCTTTGGAGAAGGAAAAAAAAATAAGTAATACAGTAAGCTTTTGATTTTGAGTGGTTATACGTTTTCTTCTTTTTTCTTTTCTTCTTCACAGTGCTGTATCGGAAAGGCCCTCCATTTTACCACGCAAGGTTTGGAGTGATTTTTAAATAAATCAGTGGCTTAAAGGGACATGGGGAAATTTCTGGCTTTCTATTTAATTTTCAGTGCCATAGAAACAGAAGTCATAGTCCTCCTGGGCAGATAGGGATAGATGCTATATGTCTACTAATCCACTAACACTGCTACTCTATACATAGGATGATATATATAGGTTATGATAATATGTGTTTTAGTGTTAAACATTGAGTTAATCTATGTAGTAATTGTTCATCTTCATTTCTGTGGGTATTAGTGTCTAAACAGTTAACTGAATTTACAGCTTTCATGTTGGGAAAAATACTTCTGTTCCTTTTTGTTAAAATCAGGCTGAAAGTTTATAACTTAAAAATATGAATTTTGCATTAATATTTTCTCAGCAATCTAGGGGATTTTAGATCAGTTGATAATAAATTTCATTCTCTGTATCTTCTTGGTAGGACAAACAATCATCTTTTTAAACAGACTGATTTCATGCTTTTTATTTTTTCAGCATTTTTTCTGTGTTTTCCAGTTACTCTGTCATTATCGAGCTAGTTGATGACAATTTTGAAGGCTCTCTCCGCAGACCTTTCAGTTGGAAGTCACTGGCTGCCTTGAGCAGAGTTTCAGTTAATGTCTCTAAGGTAATACATCAGCTGTGGCATCAAGTGTCACTTAAATGGTTCAATTTCCCTTTTTTACCCCCTTAAATGTAGTAGTATCAAGAGTCATTTGTAGAAACTTCATAGTGTTTCTGCCAGTGAAGTTCTGGAAGGTTTGGGGTCTTCCATACCCTTCCCTTCTAGCCCAATAAGGGCTAGAAGTTGTCCGCCCATGACATTATGTTTTAGTGTTTCCACCCTCCCAACAACTGGTTCTGAACTCCAGTGACTGAGCTTTGGAGGTTCCCATGATCTGATCAAGATAGGAGTTGCCTTGCTCTCCAGGGCTGTCACCACCGTCTGGGCCCTTCTCTATTGCAATTTAACGTTCACTCACTCACATGTTCACAAAGTAGCCAAAACACTGTTGATGGGTTTCCAGGTTTGCAGATCTGGAAGGGTTTTTTTTTTTTAGAGACAGAGTGTTACTCTGTTGCTCTGGCTAGAGTGCAGTGGCATCATCACAGCTCACTGCAGCCTCACTCCTGGACTCAAGTGATCCTCCTGCCTCAACCTCCTGAGTAGCTGGGACTACAGGTACATGCCACTATGCCTGGCTAATTTTCTTTTTGCCTGTAGAGATGGGGTCTCGCTCTTGTTCAGGCTGGTCTCAAACTCCTGAGCGCAAGCGATCCTCCTGCCTTGGCCTCCCAGAGTACTAAGATTACAGGCATGAGCCACCTCGCCTGGCCAGGATGAGGAATTAAAGGTGCAGAGATCCAGTATCATGCAGCCAATGTATAGAACTGGGATTCAGACCCTCAGCCATCTGGCTTCCCAACTTATTTCCTCTACATCCTGTTGCCATCAAAGATAAGAAGGACATTTCGTCTTGTACTACGACTATTAAGGATGAAAGCTGTGTGCGTTCTCATTACTCATTGAGTTGCTGGCTGAAAACCAATTGTGAGTATCCTCCCATTTTGTCCCATTGCCTCTGGAGGTGAGACGGGAGGTGAGGCCAGGAGGGCCTGCAGGGCCAGAAGTGACTGCCCTTGAGTGCAGGTTAAGTTGCCTTACTCCTATAGAAAATAGGCAGCCTGAGCAATATAGCAAGATCCCATTTCTACAAAAAAATAGAAAAATTAGCTGGAAGTGGTGGCAAGCACCTATAGTCCTACCTGCTCAGGAGGCTGAGGCAGGAGGATGTCTTGAGCCCAGGAGTTTGAGGTTACAGTGAGCTATGATGACACCACTGCACTCTAGCCCAGATGACAGCAAGACCCTGTCTCAAAGAAAAAGAAAAGAAAATAGCCTATACTGTTTTTTAATGTCCATTTTATGGGACTTATAGCATATATTTAGTAAGTCCTCACTTCACATTGCCAATAGGTTCTTGGAAACTGGCTTTTTATGCAACATGCCATATAACAAAACCAGGTTTTTTCCTTATCAGTATTCTAAGGAAACAACATTGAAGGGAAGGAAGTTATTTGAGGATCTGCTATACATCATTTACTTAAAAGTGGCAGTTTCCAGGAACCTATCAACAACTTTAAATGAGCACTTACTGCATTTAGTATTTAAAATGCTATGTTTATAATCAGTATATCTGCTTTATTTGCATTCTCTTGCCATGTGAATGATTACTAGATGGCAAGTCCTTAGTCGAGAACGTGAGCCCCAGGTATGATATTCCTAGGAGAACACTGGTGTCCTGAGTTTCCAGGAGCTTGAACAGGGAAAGGGAGTGGAGGTTGCCTGCATTTCCTGCTGATGCACCCCAGTTTGTCCTGTTGTTTTGTAGGATATGGAAGTGATTTTTTATTTCTCGATAGGAACTTATGCTGTGCTATTTGATTAAACCGTCTACCATGACTGACAAAGAAATGGAGTCGCCAGAATGTATGAAAAGAATTAAAGTTCAGGTGGGTTAACTCAGAGACAAATTCACATCATCCCAAAGATGATGTATCTTCTGGAACATGTGGTCCCAAGAAAATAAATGAAGATAGTCTTGCCTTGGTAACAGAAAGCCTTCTCGGACTCTTTAAGCTTGTCTGTCTCACCTTTTCCTCACTATACCCATCGGACGCTATTCCTTCATTCCCTGTTGCTTTACCTATGGCGTCCCCATCACTCAGCTGAAACTGCTCTCACAGACATCCGGTGACCTCCTGTGCAGCCTCGGGGCTTCAGTATTGAACAGAGTCTCCTCCTGTCTTGGCTGATTTCTCTCTGCCAGGGCTGCCAAGTTCATTGTCTAGTCGTGCAGTATTCACGTTTCTGCAGCCCTCACCCTGCATATAGAGCCTTGGCCTTGTCTTTGGCTCTTCCTCATGCCCTCTCCTCCTCCTCTCCTCTCCCCCCTCCCTCCTCCTCTCCTCTCCCCCTCTCCCTCCTCCTCTTCCCTTCTAACCCCCTCCCTCCTTGATCACACCACCCCACCCAGCCCACCACAGACCTGTCGATCCGTCTCCAGGACCTCAGGGCCTCTAGATTCGCTTTTCATAAAATGCCAATCAAAATCCATTTCTCCCTTCTCAGTGGCTGACACACATGTAGCAACACCATCACAGATCTAGTTCTAATGTTAAATACTAGCTTTCATACCAGTATGCCTATTCCTGAAATGTGCTAGATGTCAAATGCTTGGAATGTTCTTGCATTGCTGTTTTTAAAGTTCAGTCATCTTTTGTTTTGACTGGTTGCAGGAGGTGATTCTAAGTCGATGGGTTTCTTCACGAGAGCGGAGTGACCAAGATGAACTTTGAAAGTTTAACCTCAGATTTCTAGTTTCACCAGCAACTACTGCATCTCCTACAACATGCCACATTCAGGGCTAGGTAAAAAGTAGTTTTACCATAATCACCCATTAACTTAAAAGTTTTAAAAGGCATCTTGTTCCCAGCACCAGAAAACCGTCGATGTTTTAAAAGAGAAAATTGCATAGAGGAGGAAAAAGAGCCCTGTGCTGTCCTTGACTTGGTCACTAGCTCTGACTGATTCTGTGCTTCCTGCCTGTGGCCTCAGTCTGTGTCCTCATCCAGTCACCAGGGAGGCTGGCCTAGGTGTGTCCCCAGAGGACTCTTCCAGCAGGAAATTTACTCTCTGGTTTTACCTGAAAGTGGTAATAGGTTACATTTCTATAGTAGAGTTTATAAAGCACTTTCCTGCACAGGTATCCCTTGTTACCCATGTCTAACCTGTTCCCGAAAGAGTGTTCGCAGGTTTGGGGATTGCAGGATCCTACATTCCATTATTTTAAATGGAAAAAATGATTATGTGTCTCAGCTTATCCAAGAAATTCAACCAATAATTCAAACATTTAAAAATCCCTACAGAACTCTTCAAACTGTGGTCACGATTGACTCCCAAAAGGCTGAAATTAGATTTAGTTATTCCACAATGTATATGTACTTCATAACAGCATGTTGTACACAATAAATATAATTTCATCTGTCAATTTAAAAAATCTCTTTAATATCTCTCAAGGATTTCTGTATCATAGAAAGCCTTTAAACCACGAATTGCCTATTTATGTAATTCTCAGTGAACTCATTGATAGTCACATTTGTGTTCAGAACACAAAAATTTTGTACAATATTAGATAAAAATTATATCTTATTTTAATGAACTTGTTATAAAATAAAAATAAGCAATAAAATGTTTGGAGACACATAATTAAAACAATTATTTGGCAAAATATAATAGAGCCTTTTTATAAGTGGTGAGGGATGAAGAGTTGTCTGGGGGTGTTTGGTGGCAAGAGGGAGGAGAAGGGTAGAGGGTGTTGGTGCTCTTTGGTAGCAGGGAGAAAACAGCTAGAGTCAGCCAGGGAAGGTGTGGGGGAAACAGATGTCTGAGATTCATCCAGTGTCTGAATTCCAGAAACTGGTGGACAGTCGTCTTCTGACACTCAAGACTCCAGAAATGAATGGCTGAGAACCATCTTTGGAAGCTATGGGATGAAAAAACCTAAAGTGGGCATCTGTTTGCATTCCTTTGATCTATGGTTTTAGAACTCCTGATAACATAAGATTCTGCATGGCCAGGCACGGTGGCTCACACCTGTAATCCCAACACTCTGGAAGGCCGAAGCAGGAGGATTGCTTGAGGCCAGCAGTTCCAAGACCAGCCTGGACAACATAGCAAGACGCCAGCTCTACAAAATATTTAAAAAGTAGTGGGGCATGGTGGCGCACAGTGTGGTCCCAGCTACTGGCGCACAGTGTGGTCCCAGCTCAGAAGGCTAACGCAGGAGGATCACTTGACCCCAGGAGTTCAAGGCTTCAGTGAATTAGGATTGGGCCATTGTACTGGGCGATGGAGTGAGATCCTGTCTCAAAAAAAAGAAAAAAAGATTTTGCATGTAGTTGTGTTTTAATCCACTATATCTGTTCGTGTCATGATCTTGTTGTTTTACAACAAACACATTATGTCTGTATGACCTAGATTTTAAAGACATTCAAATAATGGATCCTCTTCTTCCTTCCTCTGTGCCTTAGACCAGTAGTGACCTTCAGTTAGAAGAGATTCTTAGAGTAAGGCTCTTCATTAATGATGCTAATACTTATTCAGCGTATTTACTGTCCATGTGCTTACTCCAGGCTCCTTAGCAAAGTCAACGATTTTTTGCTTTGAATCACTTTCTCAAAACCTTGAAAGTCAGCAAAAAATTTCAAAAGCCATTTCTTACCTATTTTATTCATTATTTGTGGTGGTACTTCTTTCCAAGCCCTAATCATTCCATGAAATGCCTTTATGGTTTAAAAAAACTCTTCCATAAATATCATCAATCTACATCAGATACTTTATCGTCAACTAATATGCCTGGAAGGTTGTGGTGACTCCTTGGTAGACAGGCTACAGTAATGATGTAGTATTGAAAAGCTAAAAACACCACACGGATGTTATTTGTAACTGGAAGCTCTAGAATAACGTCCAGAAGCAGCATCTGTAGTCAAGGGAGCCTGTACAAAAGATTTTTCTTTGCAATACAAGCTGGACACCATGTAGCAGGCTGTGCATGCTGCAGCATTACCCAGGGGCCCTTGGGGCTCTGGAGTAGCAGCCAAAGGCAGTGCTAGTTTACCTTTGGAGGATGTATGTCCTGGCACTTTTTTCTTCTGATATGTACAAGATGACATTTGTTTTCCAAAAAAAAAGTGGGTTCATCAGTATTGGAAATTTGCTTTGTGATAAAAACACCTTCAGAAGTTTTCTGCAGTTCACTGGGGGAGATGCTGCAGCCTCACTTAGATCAAAAATTGCTTTACCCATGCTCTGCAAAGCATCAAGCTTAAGTGGATCTTCATCTTTTGACCCTTCCAGGCTTGTTTAAAACTGAAATCCGTCACCAGATCCTGTCTCCTCCATCACTTTCAGCCCTCCAGAGGTGATGAATCCTTCTGCCGTACCAACTTAGTCTGGGTGGCATCACACCTACTGGCTACTCAGCCTCAGCACGAGGAGTTCACCAGGTTTAGTACGCTGTGCTCAAGAACACTGTGAAACTTTCAGGAATCAATGATATTAGCTCAAATTTTCTTTTGTCACCCAGTGCAAAAAAACCTGTACACACAAAAGGGGGACACATGCTTGGCCAAGATTATATCTTTATTCTAGGAATAGGTTCTTGCTATGTTGCCCAGGCTGCCCTTGAACTTCTGGGTTCAAGTGATCCTCCTACCTCAGCCTCTCAAGTAGCTGGGACTGCAGGTGTTGCACCACTGTGCCCGCTCCAAGATTTTATCTTTAATGGGTACACTTTATCACTTCCAGCTGCTTTTTTCTAACAGGAGATTTCCTAGGTCTCTAAAACTCACCTATTTCATGGGCTTTCCCACTTCCTTTTCAGATGGTTTCACTTAATAAAGTGGGGAAGACAATGTGATAATACAGCACACACCTAAACACCACGAGCATCAGGAGGTCAGCTAAGAGGGCAGCCCATATTATATCCTCTGTCCAGTCCAGACACAGCTTGAGTGATTTTGCTGCAAGCTCTTACGTATTCATTGTATTTGATTTGGATAGCCAATATAAGGTAAAATTCAGAGTAGGAGTTGAGATGGGGAAGATACCTGTGTGTTTATCCCCACAGCAGCCTGTGAGTTCAGGTGGAGGGAGGGAGCATTTGGGGCTCAGGTGGTGGCTGCCAGGCATCCCAGTGGTCAACCCAGCTGAGAGGGCACTATCCTGGAAGGTCAACGAGGTCACAAGTACAGTCCTGTTGTCTAGTGGAGGTTAATGAGGAAGGCCACCCACCTCATCAGGCAGGGATGGGTTTGTGCTACTACACAAACCCGGGCAGTGGTCCTCTACCTCAAGTTGGGGGGCAGCTCAAGCCCCCCACCCCAGGAACATGTTTTTGCATATGATTTTGCTAACAAGATCCGAAAGGTCACAGGCTCTGCAAAGACTACCCGTGGATCCAGGGTTAAGTACTTCAGTACAATGCGAGGTGCTTGGTTTTGGTGGAGGGGGTGTGTTTAGAGATGGGGTCTTTGCTATGTCACCCAGGCTGAAGGTGCAGTGGTGCAGTCCTAGCGCACTTCAGCCTCAAACTCCTGGGCTTACGCAATCCTTCCTCAGCCTCCCAAGTAGCTGGGACTACAGATGCTACCACATCCAGCTAAATTTTTCTTTTTTTAGAGATGGAGTCTCAGTATGTTGCCCTGGCTGGTCTCAAACTCCTGGCCTCAAGCAATGCTCCCACCTCAGCCTCCCAAGTCACTGGGATTATAGGATTTGAGCCATGATGCCCAGCTTGGCTTTTAATTCATTTCCCCAGAGATCATTCTACTGAAGGCTGGATAGTGGAGTGAACCTTCTAGAAAGGAACTGTTCAGATCTCATCTCTGCCTCACAGTGGTTGTGTGATCTTGGGCAATTTACTTGCCCTTGATAAGCTGCAATTTCCTTATTTCCAAACTGGGGAGTGACAGTAATGTTGGCCTTATCATGTGGTTATGTGGATAAAGAAGGAGAATGCAAAAAGCACCTAAAGCACCTGCCACATGGTGGGGTGTCCTCTTCTTCCTGCAAGGAGGACTCAAAACCACCAAACTGGCAAGAGGCTGAGAAGACACCCTGTCAACTTGTGTCTATTTACAACTGGATCTGGTTTGAGAACTGAAATGTGCTTTTGGAAAGCAGGCCCATTTGATGACAAATGGGGACATTGTGTACAGAAAGTAGAATGAGGTGACAGGAAACTTGAGACCAGGAGTTCAAGACCAGCCTGGGCAATGTAGAAAGACCCCAGCTCTACAAAGAATTTAAAAATCAGTGGGACATGGTGGTGCACACCTGTGGGCCAGAGGAGCTGCCCTATCGTAGGAGCGAGCCAAGTCACCTCCCTCCCGCCGCCTAAGGGCCCTGGGTGCTGGGATCGGGAACACCCCTGGAAGGCCGGTCAAGCCCTGGGGAGCAGTGGTGTGGGTAGAGGTAGTTCTAAAGTAGTAGGCCTGCCCACTGCAAGGCTCCACTTCCTCAGGCAGACTTGGCAGTTCACAGCGTTCAGGGTTTTGAAACTCTGAGACTCTGGTTTTGGTACTAGGTTTCAGCAATTCCTTGATCTGTTTGTTCTGGACTGGGGCCGCATGCTTAAGAGCTCCTTGGTTTGGGATTAGACGCAGCTTTGCATCCCAGCTTACCCACTCTCCAGCTGTGTGATCCTAAGCTCAACTTCCTCATCTTAATGTTATTGATGTCTGAGTGTGATGGCATATTTCTGAGCCATAAAAAGAAATGAAGCACTGACACCTACTACAACATGGATGAGCCTTAAAAACATGCCAGATGGAAGAAGCCAGACACAAAAGGCCACACATTATGATTTCATATATATATTTATATGAAATGCCCAAAATAAGTGAATCCATAGAGAAGAATGCAAATTGGCGGTTACCAGGGACGGGGTAAGGAGGGCTGGAGTGCAAGTGCTTGGCGGGAATGGAGTCTCTTGTTGGGGTGATGGAAGTGTTTTGGCACTAGGTAGAGGTGGTGTTACACAGCATTGGGAATATGCAAAGTGTCGATGAATTGTTCAATTTAAAATGGTTAATTTTATATAATGTGAATCACCTCCATTTTTTTTTTTTTTTTTTTTTTTGAGACAGAGTCTCACTTTGTTGTCCAGGCTAGAGTGAGTGCCGTGGCATCAGCCTAGCTCACAGCAACCTCAAACTCTGGGGTAGGTGATCCTTTCTGCCTCAGCCTCCCGAGTAGCTGGGACTTACAGGCATGCGCCACCATGCCCGAGGCTAATTTTTTTATATAATATCAGTTGGCCAATTAATTTCTTTTTTATTATATAGGAGACGGGGCTCGCTCTTGCTCAGGCTGGTTTTGAACTCCTGACCTTGAGGCAATCCGCCCGCCTCGGCCTCCCAAGAGCTAGGATTACAGGCGTGAGCCACAGCGCCCGGCCTCCATTTTTTTTAAGTAAAAAATGTTACCACCCTGTAGGAGTTGCTGGAGGATTAGGTGGGTTGGTCCTTGTAAGGCGCTTAGCACAGTGCCTGGCGTGTACACACTGCCAGTAATCCGCTGCTGTGATCATTCGTGCTGGGGGAAGGTGGACACAAAAACCACCATTAAAGAAGTTACTGGCCAGGTGAGGTGACACCTGTAATCCTAGCATTCTGGGAGGCCAAGGCAGGGAGGATCACTTGAGGCCAGGAGTTTGAGACCAGCCTGAGCAAGAGTGAGACTGTCTACAAAAAACAGAAAAAATTATTAATAGCTGGGCATGGTGACACATGTCTATAGTCCTAGCTACTTGGGAGGCTGAGGCAGAAGGATCCCTTGAGCCTAGGAGATTGAGCTTACAGTGAGCTATGATCACGCTACTGCACTCTAGCAGGGGTGACAGAGCGAGACCCTGTCTCAAAAAAAAAGTTACTTGTGTAATTGTTTATTTTATGTTGATTCCCTTAGCTTCAGTTTCAGAGGCTGACATTTTCTGACCTCATCCCCAGTCTATTAAATAGAAGGGGAAATGATAGCTCCTATGTACCAATGGACTATATTCTCTAATAAAGAGATTCACTTCCATAAAGTGGTACATAACACTTTGCAGTGATTAAACCAACAAGGATGGAACTTGGGTTTTAGGCATATTTACAAGGGTAGAGAAGTTAGTTGAAGCTGTTAAATTTCCCTACATCTTTGAGTATAATATACAAAACTGAAGTGTCATTTTTTCTTTTTTTTTTTTTTTTTTTTTTACTCCAACGTTGAGACGTGAGTGAAGTGTCATTTTTATTGATAATATTTTGTTTTGAATTTGTCTTAATGATTTTGTCTTTATTGTTACAGCATATTTGTTTTCTCTCTCTCTCTCTCTCTTTTTTTTTAGACAGAGTGTCACTCTGTTGCCCAGGCTAGAGTGCTGTGGCATTAGCCTAGCTCACAGCAACCTCAAACTCTTGGGCTCAAGCAATCCTTCTGCCTCAGCCTCCCGAGTAGCTAGGACTACAGACATGCTCCACCATGCCTGGCTAATCTTTTCTATATATTTTAGTTGGCCAATTAATTTCTTTCTATTTTTAGTAGAGATGGGATCTTGCTCTTGCTCTTGCTCTTGCTCAGGCAAGATCTCAGGAGTTTGAGGCCAGCCTGAGCAAGAGCGAGACCCCATCTCTACTATAAACAGAAAGAAATTAATTGGCCAACTAAACATATATAGAAAAAAAAAAATTAGCCAGGCATGGTGGCACATGCCTGGAGTCCCAGCAAGTTTTCTGAATATCTTTATTGCTAGGAGTTAAAATATAAGGAGTTAAAAGATAAATTAACACTTATGAAAATTATTTTGAGCAAATGGCAATTCATGAGTCCGGCAGCACCAAACCAAAAGTGGTTTGGAGCTCTAACAGAAGAGTTTGAAGGGAAGGCTTTTATAGGGCAACTAAGAAAATACAGTAAAGAAATTGGCTGGTTGGTTGAAGTTTGAGCAGTGCTTTATTTGGATTATCCTGGTAGAAAGTATCTGATTATATAACTAATGATTAGTTAACCATTTATGATTGGCCAAACTTCAGTTTCATTTAGTTTAAGTAGGAACCTGGATGTTGGATCTATCTCAGCATATTTTCCATTAAGTTATTTTAACACAAGGTAATTATTGGTACCTTGAGATGGGTTTGGTTTTTAGAACTCAGACATTTTTACCAAGGCTGGGGAATAAGATTAAGCGGAGTCGTATATCACATTTGGTCAAAAGCAAAGTGAGTTTGGGAAGAATTCCAAAGAGGAATTCTAGAAAGTTTTGCACATTGGCCATTTGATGTTAGATGATTATTTAGGCGTACAATTCTAATATACTTGTTTAAAATCACCTCATTTATTTATAGTTACTAATCCCGGTTTCCCCCTTCCTCCTTCTGAAAGTATTAGAGAAAGAAGACAGCCCTTTCTTTGTGTCCCTTCTGAATTCTGCCTTTTGAGTGGGCAGAAGAAATGCCGTGCAGTGGCAAACCCAGCACTCCAATCTCCACGTGTTAGGTCAGGCAAAACAAAAAGGAAACAGACTGGTGTTTTACTGATTTGAGTAACTGCCAGTCCAGTTTGTGCGTACAGGCTCAGAAGAGCTCATTCAAAAGGAGTGGCCATTGCCTGGCTTAAATTCTAAAGGGTTTGGGGGAGTTTTTTTGTTTTGTGTTACTATTAACTATCAGAAGGTTACCATGTACTTTGAGAATAAAGACTAAAAGGGGAAGATACATATTACTTCATAACTTGTGTCTCACCTGCCTATCTTCAAATTCCCAGCCTGGATTAATTTATAGGAATGGTTTTCATTGCTCTGTGAATAAAAGGTGTAGCCACTTTATGCTGTAACATGGATTCTCAGTTGAAAGACCCAAATGCTATAAAATCATTCAAAACTCAGGGCAAGTTTTATTAATTTTATAAATTCTTATGCTGCAGTAAGCTGAAATATGTTTAAAGGGAAACCATGCACTTCATTGATCACAGTTAAACGCATGTGGAAATCCGCAGTACCGAGTAAGGCGGTAACTCCCTGGCGTCCAGCCCCTCTGCGCTTACGCTTGCTCTCAGCACAGACCTCTGCCTGAGGGAGGCGAGGCCCTCAGTCGGCAGGGTCAGTCACGTAGAAGCCACGCTCCTCTATTGCCCGGTGGAGTGTGATGTACTTGGAAGCCAGCCTCGTCCTCGGGACCACGTGTTTCTCCGTGAACTCACTCTTGTCCAGGTGCTCTTTGCCTTCTGCGGCCAGAACGCAGTTGATGAAAGTGAGGGCGTAAGTGTAGCAGTTGTGCCGGTCTTCTTCGTACCTTACAGAACAAGGACGTGGAAAAGGGAAGGCTGCACTTTTAAAGCTGCCCAGGAACAGGCTGTGAAGCTGCTAAAGGACTTTTATAATTGAAACTGGGCTCCCATGTGTGAGCTGGGCCCCCACGCGTGCTGGCCCCTTGGTTACGCCATTCTGCGGGGCGACTGGCATGTGGGCTGTTCCTACTCACTACTTAAGGACAGATAGGCACAGACTGCCCCAGGTGTTCAGGGTGGTCACTTAGTTGCATGTAAACTGCCAATTTGGAAGACTTAATTTCAATGAAATTCTAGATTTTAGAAGTGAAATTCTGTATCTAAGTTTTATGATATCCCACAGTGTCTAAACTAACTTCAAGGGGAACCTGAGAACAGTTTAAATCCACAAGTACCCCATATAGCTTCTAAAATGTTGAGGGAGTGAGGAATTGAGAAATTAATTTCAGAACTGCTAAAACTAAAAAGAAAATATGGAGCTTTAAATATTTTTACATTTTGAACATAGTTTTTAAAATTTTTTTTGTTTTAAGGAAATGTAATATGACTTTTGCTGTATATGTGTAAATATATTTAAATAACTAAAATAACTGAATAGAGTATAGCTTCTAGTCCTTTCTTAAAAGGCTATGATTTTGGTGTATAAATATATGCTGACCCACCTCTGCAGAAAACCTAAAGTAATTCAACCCCTGTTTAAGTTCCATGGCAGGCACTAATACCTCAGTATGGGCTCAGCATGAGCCCAAGTGCAGCTCAGTCCTTTGTGAGCTGAGGCAGCGCAGGGAGCTCAGGGCTCAGCTTGAGTGCCCGTGGAGGGTTGTCTTTGCAGCCACGTACCTGTGGGGCAGCCAGGCCCCCGAGGTGGAGAAGTCTTCCAGGTACTTGTCCCACTGGTCCATCAGTCCATACATGTTGGGCTGCAATAGTGGGACACTTATGCTCTGCTCCCACCCTGTTTCATCTCGCTGGACACCATATACGTTGTAATTATACACAACTCCTGCAAACCAGAACCAAAGTCACACGGAGGCTTAAGGAAAAATGTCCCTCTGTGAAAAAGGGACATCAAAAAATGACAGTAGCCACCTTGGTAACTATAGTTAAATCCAGGTGGTACTTTCCTATTATTGTCAGAGAGCAATGAACAACGGGCAGGTGAGAGATTTTAGAATCTCCTTCCATCTATCTAATGAGATTTAGTTAGGGTCTGGCGTGGAGTCAGGGAGGGGTTTATGTAGCCTCAGCGCACGCGCACACACACACACACACACACCCCTTATCAGCAAACCATTTCCTTGGGAAACCGGTTCTTGCTCTACCTGCTATTCAGCACTATGAGGTGCCCCCAGGATAGGGAGACAATAATAGGCGCCAGGATAATCATCTCCAAATATTTTTATCAAAGTTCTCTATTTACAAATCAGTCTATGTTGCTTCCTTAATTCAGCAATAAATTTCCACTGATAAATATTAGTGGTAAGTTTGACTGATCGTGTGGGTAAATCTGAGTTCAAAAACCATTTGTAGGTTCCTGGTCACAGTGTCAGTTTCTCCTGCCTCTAGGGGCTAAGGAAAGGCTGCTGTCAGACTTCACCTGCCAGACCTGTGATCTGAGCCTCACCTGGATCACCATTTCCAGGCCACAACTTCCTGCGAGTGACTCCACCTGACCCTTCTCCAGTAGACAAGAATGCTTTTGGTTTCAGGGGCTGCAAACTCTGTGCCCTCAGAGCTAAATCTGGCCGAAGCAACTGTATTTTGTTTCATCTTCACATGCTATTTTTTTTAAGCCAACCACTGCAAGCCCTAGCACATTCTAAGGTATTATATATAGCCCCTGAAGACTCTGGAATGTAAGGACCCAGTTGTTGGGGGCTGGACTGAATATAGCACTGGGGAACCAGGGCTGGTGCGGTGGCTCACACCTATCTTCCCTGCACTTTGAGAGGTTGAAGTGGGAAGATCAGTTGAGGCCAGGAGATGAAGACCAGCCTGAGCAACATAGTAAGACCCCGTATCTACAAAAAATAATAAAAATTAGCTGGGCATGGTGATGGGCGCTTATAGTCCCAGCTACTTGGGGGACTGAGCAGGAGCATCATTTGAGCCCAGGAGTTCGAGGCTGCAGTGAGCTATGATGATGCAGCTGCACTCCAGCCTGGGCAATAGAGTGAGAATGTCTCAAAAAAAAAAAAAGGATTAGGGAATCTGGGCCTGGGTCCAAATTCTGGTTCTGACATCAGGGATGTACAACTTGGTCAACTGGACCTCTCTGAAACCATCTGTTTTTTTCTTTCCTAAAAACCAATGAAAACTTTACAGGTTTTAAAGGCCTTCACCGAGAAAACAATAACTTTCAAATACTTAGTATTATTAGTAATATTTGGCATAAAGTCAAGTATTTCTCACTTTGTGGGTAGCAGTTCCCACTTCACAGTGCCATTGGAGACGCCAGTGAACGAAATTGCTAATTAAATGTTGCCATGAATATATCTTCTCTAGAAAGGCTGCTCTCCTCTGGCTGGGTGTTGTAGGGCATTTTCAAGCTAAAAGAAGGTGTAAGAAAATGCACTCACCATTCGTGTTAGTTATTCCAACATGGAGATCGGACCTCCCATCATACTCCCTGAAAGAAACAAGGATTTGTTTGCGTGTGCTTGGCCAGAAGAGTGGGCCGGGTCAGAACTCGAATCAGTGCCAGTTGGTGGAAGGCCTATTTGGAAGCTGGTTAAGTGAAGAGTAGTTTGGGGTAGAAAATACCCCCTGCTCCCAAGCCCAATCTGCATTTCCCTGGAACCCCAGCACTGAAGTGTTCTGGAAGGCCATCCTGGGAGAGCACAGATTCAGCCTGACCTCTGGCTGGAGGTCAGCTGCTGAAGGCGCTCCCCACTCCTTCTTCCTCTGGCTCCTGTGGCTGGGAGGATCCTGAGTGCACCAGTGACCTCCCACCTTTTCAAGACTAAAATAGCAGCAATACCTGCTGCTGCCCCACAGCCCTTGTTTTCTGAAACGATTCTGTACGCAAGATTATTTGTTAACTGTATAACTCCATGTAATTGAATCTTCATAGACAATCCGAGGCCATCACTTGCTAGTCCTGGGACATTGGGCAAGTCACTCTTTCTAATCTCAGTTTCCTCATCTGCAAAATGGGAGTATCATAAGCCTTCTAGCAAGCTGCTAGTAAGAACAAAATGCCTAGTGAGTGTCTGCCCCACGAAGGTGTCAAATAATTGAGAGATAATTTTCAAACAATTAGGCTCCTTTGTTAGACCACAGCTCTGGATGTTTGGTTCCTCCTTAAAGCAAGCAGTCCCAGGCTTTAAAATGGCCAAGGACACAAATGGCTGCCCCACCTGCGGCAGGGTGATCCTGCAGCAGTCATCCTGTTGCAGCCACTTTGAGCTTTTTGAGACCCAGTGGGTTCAAAGGATGAGAATGACGCTGGGACAAACAAGCAGTCTCGGTGGCAGATACCAGCACTGCACGTGGGAGTGCTACCCTGGGGCGGCGCCCTGAGCGCATGGCTACACTTTGTCCCCACCCAAATTCTAGACCTTTCCTCCCTCCTTCCCTCCTTTCCTTCGGTTATTTCTTAGTTGTGCAATAGATGTTTATTGGGTGTCCACTCAGGGCCTGTCATCTTGAGTGAAGGGCTAAAGGACACCATAGGAGATAAGATGAGATTCCTGCTCTCACGGACTTTGCTCACTTCCAGAGAAGACTTTTCGATTTAGTTCAACAAGTTGTTAATAGACGAATAAGTGCTGTGAAGGTAAAACAAACAAGAAAACTACAGAATGTTATGTAAGCATGTGATGGGGCAAGGCGACAGCCACCCCTTTCTCATACAACACCTTTGTGCAGATTAGGAAAAGCTGCCCCCTCTTCCTGCAGGTGCAGTTCTGCACAGGGTACTGGCTTGGTGAGTGGAGTGCAGCTGAACTTCAGCGGCCACCACTGCCTTAGTCAGGCATCTTCGTGCAGTCTACAACCTGCACAACCATATATGGCAGCCCTGAGAAACTCTGACCTACTTATGTCAGGATGTGGGTGATTCCTTTGGGTCACTGCCAGTTCTCTTTTACCAAGTACATGAAGTTGTCTCAAGGTGAGTTGTGGGAATCAGTACTGAGGGTTTGGAAACATGGATGAGAGGGAAGGAAATGGTTTGGAACTTGGCCCTAGAGGTCCTGGTAGGCAGGGGCTATCTTGGGGTTTCTGCACATCCTGGCCCGAGCACGGGAAGGGACAGGGGGATGCTAGAGCACATGACCTGTTCCGACACCACCACTTCCTTTCTGCCAGTGCCCAGTGAGACCAGGCCTGTCGACATCACCACCATATCGCAGAATAAATACATGCTTATTAGGGGCCAATCTGGGAGCCCATCATGCGTCGTGTCAATTCTCAAGAGCAGGGCTGTGGCTTGTTCACTGTGACAGCCCGAGCATTTCCCACACAGAGCAGCTCAGTAAGGATTTGTTGAATGAACCAATGTTATGGGAAATGAATTCTGAATTTTGACCACTTTATTTCAAAGCCTTTAGAATCCAGCCAGTTAATGACTCTAAGTCAGCATGAATAAGGGACTCTTAATGATTTGGGCTGCATGATGCTTATTAAAGGTGGCAGTGAGCCTGGTTCTGCCAAGCTGTGGAGTTAGGGTCTCAAGTGAACCTGAAAATAGGGTGGTAGGGAGCATGTTGGTGAAACGTCATAACTGATGTGTAGGCCAGGTTTAGATGCCTCACGGCTCTGTGAGCCTCATTTTGCAGATAAGGAACTGGAGACTCAGAGAGGGTCCTGGAGCAAGTTAGCAGAAGACCCAGGATAGGAACTGGGAGCTTTGTGGCGCCAGAGCCTGCACTGTCCGCCCTGGACAGCTCAGGGTGCCGTCTAGTCAGCACCCAGCATTTTGACCAACAGCGTCAGTACACTTCGGTTCATTTCATCTTCATAGGGACCAGGAGGAAAGATAAGATAGTAAGCAGGGAAGTGAGTAGTCAACTCCAATTTTCTTGTCCCAAACCAGCACTCATGAGGGGATGGGAGAGTTAGACTGTGACGGCACATAGGTACTGAACACGCTTCCCAAAGCATGCACCTTCATTCAGTGGCATCCGTGCTCTGTGAAGACTGCCTTACGCAGGGCGATCACAATCCCATCTGTAAACTTCACCAAGGACCATAAGGCATGATCCTTTCTTTTGAGTTCTGAATTCACTCTTAAAGCCAGTTGATGCCTACAGTGGAAATAGACCAGCTCTAGTCTTCAATTTAACTCACTTAAGATGGTGTGTCATTGTCAGTTCTTCGGGCTCTATATGTAGTACCTGTTTGCCACAGAAGCTACAAATTAACTGGCAGTAAAGGCATCACTATGACAAGATTAGCTGCTGGGCCATCTTCCCAGTTAGCCTCTTAGCACATATTTTTCTCCCCTAAAATTGTGTGAGCAGGTTTGCTCTGCATCTACTCTGCGTGCACTCTTGCACTCAGCACTGCGAGAACACATGCACCACCCCCGTCTATGTTTATGAAGCCTCGAGGCCTACAGCTCAGGATTTAAGGCCAAAGCACTGGAAAGATTGTCCACCAGACCTTACACTGTATAGTACATATTAGGAAAAGAAAGTCTTAGTGATTAAAACACAGAAGGAAAGGTTTGCACAATTCAATGTAACACTTAAGAAAAACACTGTACCTAAGAAACGTCCCCTGAGTTGGTCTGAGGAGGAAGGAACATTTTTCTCCATGCCCATTGGTAAATGGATTGGCGATGCTGACAGGGGCTTCCTCTAGCTTCCTCGAGCCCATGTCCTTCCGGCAGAGGGGGCAGCACTGGGGCACGCCGAAGCTGTAGATGGATCTCTTACAGTGGTCAAATTTAATTAAAGGCTTTCCGACCTCTGCACAGTGCATAGCTTTCACCTCCTGAGCGGCCGGGAGAAGTTTCTTCCTATTCCGCATTATACGGCTGGCAAATGCAGGCTGCCCCAAGTAACCTGACCAACGATGATGTCATCCTGACTGGCAGCCCCAGAAGCCAAACCAGGTAGGATTAACCAGTAACCAGGCCGCCCCATGAACTGGTTTCTTAAAGAGCTAGTTGTCATTTGTGCTCGCTTATTGCAGCTGACGACGGCCAGCTCCTAGTCATCCTTTAAAGCCCCACTTCTCTGTGAAACCTTTCTCAGCTTCCTCCAGTCTTCTCTTTTGCTGACAGCATTGGATTCATCTTTCTACCAGAACTCTGTTATTAGTCATTTAGTTTTGTTTTTCCTGTTAGTCTTTGAGCTTCATAGGATTGGAGTCTCACCTTTATTTTTGTGTTCCTAGAATAAGATAGTTTTGTTGTTGCATAAATAAATCCTTACTTTAGGGCTATTTTCTTTTGACATTTTATACTGTAGAAGTAATCTTGCTCATAAAACATTAACAGCACCATTAGAAATGAGGATAGTGGTTACCTTAGGTGGCGGATACTGACCGGGAGAGGGCAGAGGTGGTTTCTGGGGCTGTTCTGATTCATTATCTGGGTCTTCATTATATTTAGATTGTGAAAAATCATCAAGCTGTGCATTTTACTATGTGCACTATATTATTTTTCAATTTTAAAATAATTTTAAGCAACTGAACAAAAAATATTTGGAAAAAAAAGCAGTGCCCTCTCCCATAATGTTCCCACCCACCATATTCTACTCTCTGGAGAAAACTAATGGTACATGAGGTGAATATTTCCACATGCTTTGTTAAAACACCAACATTGTTATACTGTATACTGTTTTGAAATCTATATTTCCCTTTCATTTTGGGAACTGTTTCTCCATATCACTAATATAGATAGGTTCAGCTCATCCTTTCAGAACCCACTTTTGGTTGAACTACACTAAACCCAGGCCCTATGGATGCCTAGTATTTTTTGTTTTGTTTGTTTTTTTCGAGACAGAGTCTTGCTCTGTTGCCTTGGCAAGAATGTCATGGAGTCAGCCTAGCTCATAGCAGCCTCAAATTCCTGGACTCAAGCAATCCTCCTTTCTCAGCCTTCTAAGTAGCTGGGACTACAGGCATGTGCCACCATGCCCGGCTAATTTTTTCTACTTTTAGTTGTCCAGCTAATCTCTTTCTATTAGTAGAGATGGAGTCTCTCTCTTGCTGAGGCTGGTCTTGAACTTCTGGCCTCAAGCGATCCTCCTGCCTCAGCCTCCCAGAGCGCTAGCCAAGATAAGCAGTTTTAAAGGGAAGACCCATAAAGAAGATGTCATGGTAGGAAAAGGCACTTCAGGAAGTTTATTTCATAACTTGCACTTAAATAAATTACAGAGCTTCTCTCATCTGAAAGCACATCATGGCTGGTCTCCTCTGTTTTGACGTTAGTGATCATTCTAAATGTCTAGAGATCTGTTCATGCATTGAAAGTGGCTCAGAGGGGATAGTCTAGCTGCATCATTTTATTTTCATGCATGATCTAAAATGATTTTATAAGGAGACACTTCCCCTCAGCTATTACATAGTTACCTAGTGGCTCAGTCATACGGAGAGATTGGACATGTGCCTGGTTCTTTACCCACATTTCAAGATCATCAGAGCATCTCTGTCGCACTCAGAAGGTGCCCAGTTGGTTTCATATCCTCTTCCTTAAGTATCACTGTGAACTCACAGATGTAAACATATTAGATACATTCCAACCTAATGCAATTTTTATTCTTATTGCAGCTCAAATTGCCCTATCATTGGCCTCTTTTTTCTTTCTTTCTTTCTTTTTGTTTGAGATAATGTCTTGCTCTGATGCCCAGGCTAGAGTGCTGTGGCGTCAGCCTAGCTCACAGCAACCTCAAACTCCTGGGCTCAAGGGATCCTTCTGCCTCAGCCTCCCAAGTAGCTGGGACTACAGGTGTGTGCCATCATGCCTGGCTAATTTTTTCTTTTAGTTTCCTAGCTAATTTTTTTCTATTTTTAGTAGAAATGGGGTCTTGCTCTTGCTGAGGTTGGTCTAGAACTCCTGAGATCAAGCGATCCTCCTGTCTCAGGCTCCCAAAGTGCTAGGATTACAGGCATGAGCCGCCACGCCCAGCCTGTCGGCCTCTTCAGTTGGCTCCTGAGTCCTTTTCATATGACCCTTAGGGGTCTCTGATGATGTCCTTCCTATGTATTTTATGTTAAAATATTTTGGGTTCATCGCAGACTGTTCCTGCCCTGGACCTAGAATCAACCATTTCTCCAAGCCCTGCTTTCTTTAAATGGGAAATGGCATTTCAAGACTTCAGTCTGCCTGCTGGGGGTGCTCTTTGCTACTGGGTTGGTTGTGGTCTGTCTTTTCAGTAGACAGAGCAGGATAAAAAAAAAGGTACACACACATAAAATACTTCACGAGTTGATACTATTTCCAATTCAAGTTCAGGACTACAGGGTTTTTACTTAACCTCTTCTATATTACATGTCTATCTCTTTCCACACTGAAAATCTTAGTTCTCAAGGATACAGGCAATTAGGGAATTAGAATGTCTCATAACTATTCATTTGCTTTGTCCCACATTTACATCAGTCTCAGAGTAACAATGTTAATACCAGCAACTCCAATTATGATTACTGAACAGAGTTGAAACATTTTTTTGCCCACCTTCCTCATTTATTTAAATGGTTGTCCTATATCTTCATTCCCAGAACATCTGCCATCATAAGCAATACCCTCTACCTCAACCCTCGCTAAGGCCTGGCTCTGTATGCAGACTGACGTTGAATGCCCGCTACCAGCTCTTTCATCACTGGCTTGTCTGAAGTTCACTCTCTAGAAGATTCCTTGGTAAGGGGTCATAGGAAGAATACCTCCTGAATTCTTGCAGGTTGATGAACAGTTTATCTCTGTCCTTTATACTTGAAGGTCAGTTTTGCTGCACCTAAAATCCTTGGCTCACATTTTCTTAAATATGTCATTCAATTTCCTTCTGCCATAAAGCACTGCTGTCAAAAAGTCTGATGATAAACAAATTTTCTCACTTTTATAAGTCACGTGTTCTTTTTTGCCAGTGTACCTATGGAATTTTCTTTTTTTAAAGATCAATAATTTTATTATAAAATGCAATTTGGGTTTACTCAGGTTTATGGTGTCATCTTTCAATATGTACTTTCACATCTTTTTTATTTCAGGAAATTTTTATATAGTTTTGAATATCTATTCTGTTTTCTTATTTTGGTTTTCTTCAGGAAGTTCTATCATCTGTATACTGCATTTTTGCCTATCTTCGATATTACTTACTTTTTAAAAATTGAGATTACATTTATATACAAAGAAATTCACCCATTGAAAGTGTACAATTCAATGGTTTTTAGTATATTCACAAGGTTGTGCAACCATCACCAGTAAGTTTAGAATATTTTCATCATCTCCAAAAAGAAATCCCATATCTATTAGCAGTCATTTCCATTCTCCCCTCTCCCACCCCCTCCCAGCAACCACTAAGCTTTCTTTCTCTATGGATTTATCTATTCTAGACTTTTCATATAAATGGAAACATACAATATAGTCTTTTGTATCTGCCTTCTTTCACTTCACATAATTTTTTTTTTTTTTTTTTTTTGAGACAGAGTCTTGCTCTTTTGCCTGGGCTAGAGTGCCCTGGCATCAGCCTACCTTACAGCAACCTCAGCACCTAGGCTCAAGCAATCCTTCTGCCTTAGCTTCCCAAGTAGCTAGGACTACAGGCATGTGCCATCATACCTGGCTAATATTTTTTTTATATATAGTTTTAGTTTTCTGGCTAATTTCTTTCTTTCTTTCTTTCTTTTTTTTTTTTGAGACAGAGTCTCACTTTGTTGCCCAGGCTAGAGTGAGTGCCGTGGCGTCAGCCTAGCTCACAGCAACCTCAAACTCCTGGGCTCAAGCGATCCTTCTGCCTCAGGCTCCCAAGTAGCTGGGACTACAGGCATGCGCCACCATGCCCGGCTAATTTTTTCTATATGTATTAGTTAGTCAATTAATTTCTTTCTATTTATAGTAGAGACGGTGTCTCGCTCTTGCTCAGGCTGGTTTCGAACTCCTGACCTCGAGCAATCCACCCGCCTCAGCCTCCCAAAGTGCTAGGATTACAGGCGTGAGCCACCGCGCCCGGCTTCTGGCTAATTTCTTTCTATTTTTAGTACAGACAGGGTCTCACTCTTTCTCAGGCTGGTCTTGAACTCCTAACCTCAGGTTAGGTCTTACATTTAGGTTCCTGATCCATTTTGTTTTGTTTTTTTTTTTCTTTTTTTTTGTGTAACCTGGCCACAGGACCATTTTGAATTAATTTTTTTTTTATTTTATTTTATTTTTATGGCCTTTTTGTGGTTGACTGAATTAATTTTTGAATAATGTGTGAGGTAGGGATCCAACTTTATTCTTTGGCAAGTGGATATTCAATTGTTCCAGAACCATTTGGTGAAAATACTCTTATTTCTCTATTTTTACGGTCTTGGTATCCATTTTATTTTATTTTCTTACGAGCTAATTGGCACCTTTTTCAAATCTCAACTGACCATAGATGTGAGGGTTTATTTCTGGACTGTCAATTCTATCTCACTGATTCTATTTCACTTCAGTGGCCCAGTCATTCCCCTTCAAGACATAATGGGCAGTTCATGATGGGGGTGAGGTGTTAGCTACTAGGATGGTAGCCACCATATGCACTGTGGTGTCATTTGCAGAAAAGCCTAGCACAGTCATCTTGGAAGTAGTTATAAATTAAGACCTTGGCCAGGAGCAGTGGCTTACTCCTGTAATCCTAGCACTCGGGGGGGCCAAGGCAGGAGGATTGCTTGAGCTCAGGAGTTTAACCACTTCGGTACGAGCGTCAACTATAGTTGACAGCCACAGATGAAAGCACACAGGGACTTTAGCCGACAGCCGTGATATGACTTTTCTAATGTTTCATTTATCAAAATAAAATTGTGAACATGTAAAAATAATGGAATGAAAACATACATGTCTATGTTACCTATTCTGATTTACATGACAAGTAAAGCTGCCTGTAAAGTCAAACAAGCTTTCAGTGCGTTAAAGCTTTCCTCGTCACACAAGAGCAAAACGGACCCGCCGTCAACGCGCAGCGCACGCAGACCGCCGAGCAGCTGTGAGTGCGGCTGTGGGCGAGGTGGTTAAGGTTGCAGCGAGCTATGGTGACACCACTGTACTCTACCCAGGGTGACAGACTTGAGACTCTGTCTCAAAAAAAATTTTTTAAATAATAAAAACAGATGGAAAATAAACAACAAGATGGTAGATTTAAATCCAACTATATTACATCTAATGTAAATGGACTAATTACATTTAATGTAAATGGACAATTTATAAAAGAAAGATTATCATACTGTATTTTAAAGTGAAACTATATACTATCTATAAGAGATACAATTTAGATTTAAACACTAAGTATTTCCAATGGCTTTTACTTTGAAAAAAGAAAGAATAAAATAAAATAAAAAATATAAAATATTAATAAATACAATTAAAAAAAACAAAAACAAAACACTAAGTAGATTAAAAATAAAGGATGGAAAAAGATAGACCATGAAAACATTATCTGAAAGAAAGCTGGTATGAACTCCTCTGGGACACAGCTAAAGCAGTTCTGAGAGGAAAGTTTATCTCCATAAATGCCTATAACCAAAAGACAAGAAGATCACAAATAGACAATCTAATGAAACGACTCAAAGAGCTGGAAAAAGAAGAACAGACCAACCCCCAAACCCAGCAGAAGAAGTGAAATCAGCAAGATCAAATCAGAACTAAACGAAATTGAAAACAGGGAAGCTATTCAGGAGATTAATAAAACAAAAAGTTGGTTCTTTGAAAAAATAAACAAAATTGACACACCATTGGCTAAGCTAACGAAAAGCAGAAAGAGAATCTCTAATAAGCTCCATC